TTCTGGCAAGCATCCATGAAGGATGAGATATGGAAGACCATCACATCGCGGAGAAATTGCGCGAAAGCGAAAAACGTCGTTGTTTTCATCGGCGACGGAATGGGGATTCCAGTCATCACGGCAGCGCGGATTCTGAAAGGGCAGAAAGCCGGGAAAACAGGAGAGGAGACATTCCTGAACTTTGAAAGATTTCCCTACACGGGGCTCATGCGGGTATGAGAAGATATTTCAATACAGTACTCCCTACAGTTGTGACACTCTTTATTCTCACAGCCTCAAAGCCAGGGTCACAAATGAAAAATAAATAAAGTAAACATACCATATGATCAGTTTTGAGACTTTTTTTTTAGATAGATCCAATGGATTGGTTACAATTCCAATTATTTTTTTACTTGGATAACCCCCTGATTTGGCAACACTTTAGCACTGTTTAACACGCTCTCTGTCAAATTAAATAAATTTTATTCATGCTGTTGTCTTAAATGTGCATTAACAAATACAAATTCTTGCTCTTTAAATTGCTAGATGGTCAAACTTGTTTCTTTGCAGATATATGTTCAACCAACTTGGAGACTTGTGTCTCAGACATTTAAATTGTTTTCCACAAGCTTTCAAAACATACAAAGAAGGCTCCAATGTGAGACTTTGATGAATGTTCTTTATTTTTTTGTATATACACACAGCAATATTAGATAGTATGTTGCAGAGCTGAGTGACAACAAGAAGGTTTTGCAGCAAAGTCTGGTGACAGTAAGCTTGCTTCAGCATGGGAAACACCTCCCAGCAAATAATAAATTTTTGAAGTATAGGCGTAACAATAGAATGCGTAACAAATGCATTCCCAATGCATTGCACAACAACTTTTTATTACACCACCCATGAAAAGGAATGGAAATTATGAAGGCATAGCAGAAGAAGCCGGGTGTAACCGTTATGCGTAACAAATGCATTACATCACATGTAGCTGTTACACCCAGCCTTTCCGGTAACAAATTATTTAGAGGGCTTTATTCATAGGTTCAGGCCAACAAGATCAAGAGATGCTTGTAGCAACTGATTTGGATTGGTGTCAAACATACTTTGTTACACATCAAATGAAGGAAATGGGAATGATGAAGAAAGATGTTGTGGGTAATAAAATGAAATGGGAAATTACCAAGGGAATGTTCCAAAAGTGCTGTTCACATTGTAGTCATAACAATATGATTACAATGCAATAAATGAAACAATAAAAACAGTGCCACAAATTGAGTTCCATTAGCTGATCAAGCTGCTCTTTGAAGGCAGAAATAAGACTGTCCCTGATCCTCAAAATAAATTATTTTTCAGGTTGTTCTTCACTGTTGGGAACACCCAGAAATCACAAGGTCCCAAATCAACTAACAGAACTCAATTTTTGGCACTCTTTTAATTGTTGGATTTATGGCATGAAAAATGGATTGAAATTGGCAGAGAATGTGTTGAACAGCACTGCAGGGTTGCCAATTGATGCAGCTATGCAAGTAAAAATACTGTAATTCAAAATTTTTGAAACTCATTTCTGGATCTATTTAAAAAAAAAAGTCCCAGGACTTATGAACCAACTCTTGTATAGCTGCGAAATGAGGGGAAATAATCCAGAATTTCTTTCCTCACATAGACATACTGTACGGACAAGCAAGTGCCTGATTCAGCATGCACAGGAACAGCCCTTTTTGGCGGCATCAAGGCACCCTACTACACTCTCGGTGTCGACGTTCATGCCAAGTTCGGAGATTGCAAGGCAACAATGAAGTACAAAAGCTACTTTCCCGAATCCATCATGACTCATGCACAAGCTGCGAAAAAACTGACTGGTAAAAACACATTTTTACTAGATCCCCAAAGAAGTTGTTTCTTCATCTCGCAGAGGGAATCTTTCGAAATTTCATGAGCGAAGCTCTATTTAAAACAATGATACATTTAAGCTAATGCAGTAAAAGTTTTGATGAGTAATTTATTGTATTTTTCATGGTTTGGATGTGGAGCCCCTGGAAAATGCACACAAAGTCCTCTTGGTGCTCAGCAAAGCAGAAATATGCTAACCTTTCCTAATTTACATGGGATGTCCCACTTCTCCTTGGCCTTGAATATTTATAGATTAAGTACCACTGTTAAAAAATATATATATGATGTATAATGTGCAATTGTAAGGTTCTGGGATTTTTTCTGATTAAAACTATTATTCAGAGTTACCAAGTGAAAACTTTCCAGTTCTGGCAAATGTTCTCCATTCATGTTAGAAACTCTTGAAAATTTTTCAAGGCCAGACAAAAAATTGAAATTTGTATTTTGTTTTTTTAGCGCAACATTTCCTTCATCTTGTGCAATTTTAAAAATTTGTTCAATGATTATTCTGTTTGCAAAAAGTGAAAACCAAAGTGCATTTTGCATTTTTCCAAGAGCAAGGGTTCATTTCCAATTTCTTTCATTTCTTCTTCAAAACATCATCCAAAGCCCAGCATCTGCCTGTGATATTTTTCTCACTACTTGAAAATTTGAAAAAAAAACTTGTTTTTTAATCTTTTGCCTCAAGTTCAGAATATCACTGGATTTCTTTGCACAGGTTCTGCTCCTCACCCCCTTTTCCTTTTTTCTTTCTTCAAGTTGAAAATAGAAAATGAATAAAAATGGAAACAGAAGTTTCATTAAATTTAAGGGTACAGTATCAAGAAAAATAGCACCGGTAGAAGTTATGCCTTGAATGATGTTTTTGAAGAGGAAATGAGAAAAAAATTGGAAATGAACCCTTGTTCTTATAAATTGGATAAATGCAAAATACACTTCGGTTTTTCATTTTTTGCAAACAAAATGACCATTGGAAACATTTTAAAATAACAAAAGATGTAGGAAACATTGTGCTAAAAACAACAAACAAATTTCAATTTCTGTCTGGTCAGAAAAAGTTTTATAACAGCTTGTGACATAAATGGAGAACTCTCATCAGAACTGGAAAGTCTTCATGCATCGTTGTGGAGTGAATCTGAATTTTTTTAAAAATAAAAATCTCTTTAAAAATCCCAGAACCTTACCATTGCATGTGCTGTACAATATAATTGTTTTTTTACAGTGGTACCTACTCTAGAAATACTCAAGGCCAAGCAACAGTGGGACAACTCCCATATTTAGTATGTCAACTCATAGGACTTGTAGGACTCATAGGACTTGTAGGACTTGTAGGACTCATAGGACTCATAGGACTTGTAGGACTCATAGGACTCATAGGACTTGTAGGACTTATAGGACATAGGACATGACATAATCATGAGACACCAAGGGGCTGATAATGCTCAAGATTTAAAAGTAGAATAGGTAATTGGGCATCACCATCAAAATCAAGACAACATGGTTAATATGCTGTATATAAACCTACTTCAAAGACAACAGCAAAATATGGTGGCCAGCATCAGCAAGGATATTTTGACAGAAAATGATTCTTTAGTCTAGTGTAAAAAAAGACTGATGTTGCAGTACTATAAATGTTTTGCAGGATTCGTCACGACATCCCGAGTAACGCATGCCACACCTGCTGCGACTTACGCTCACTCTCCGCACAGAGACTGGGAATGTGACGGGAAATTGCCCCCGGAGGCAACGGAATGCAAGGACATCGCCAGGCAAATGATCGAAGACGCGCCTGCAAGAGACTTCCATGTAAGCCCCATAACGTCCCACTTTACGATTCCAAGGCCAAAAAAAAAGAAACAGCCAAGGATGACATACCAAACTCCGGCTCCATGATGAAATCCCGTGGGAGAAAAAATCCCGCGGCCCGAAAATCCCGTAGGCCCAAAAATCTCGCGGGGTCTGAAAATCCCGCAGGTACCAAAATCCCGTATACTTCAAAAATCGCAATGTTTTCTCCGAGTTTTCCTTCCAAATGAAATGGTGAAAGTGTGCAAAATTATTTACAGACCATCAACATATAAAGATAGCAAAGGAGGTTTTTCTTATGTAAGAATTCATGTTTTGATGACAAAGTAGAGCTTAAAATAATTGGAAATGTGAAACAAATACAGGGGTGAAGTCCTGATCCAAATGAAGGTTAATTTTTTCTCACGTTTCCTTGGGAGAAATAATTCATGTTTTGATGACAAAGTAGAGCTTAAAATAATTGGAAATGTGAAAAAAATACAGGGGTGAAGTCCTGATCCAAATGAAGGTTAATATTTTCTCATGTTTCCTTGGGAGAAAGGTGAGGAGGTGGAGTTGAGGTTCTATTGAGAGAGGTAATTCCTAAACCTTGGATAATCCTTAGAAGGAAACCCCCCACACTTTCACCATTTCATTTGGAAGGAAAACTCGGAGAAAACATTTCAATTTTTGAAGTGTACGGAATTTTGGTACCTGCGGGATTTTCGGACCCCGCGAGATTTTCGGGCCTACGGGATTTTTGGCCTCACGGGATTTTCGGGCCGCGGGATTTTTTCTCCCACGGGATTTTCTCCTGCACCCATCCGCAGGAGGGGATTTGAGGGTGCTTTAAATTATTCGCCACTTCTGCAATTTTATACAGTAATTCATTTTGTTCAGTGCTGTGTGTTGCTCAGTGAAACTTGGTAGATGAATATAACCGTAGGAAATTAAATTATAGCTGTACAATAAAAAAAAAAACTAGTTAGCTTTAGCAAAAAGTGCTTATTTTTGACAATCCGTTTTTGGTTTTTTTCTTGTTGACTGTTTTTTGGATACGCTCAACTTTCCTTCGCCGTTCAAAGTTTCGAACACATTTCGTTTTCAGTTTCATTTTTCGAGCACTTGGCCTCTGTTTTTCTCAACAAAAATTTCCATGCCTTTCCAGTGACCCGCTGCCCACCTTTCAAGTCGAATTTCGCGTGGCGATCCTCGACCAGTTTCTTCTAGAAATGAAATAATTTCCATCAAGCCTCTTGCCAGGAACATGTTTTTTTCATTTGCTCGAAGAGATTCGGCATGTTTTTCCGTTTCCTTCTTCTTTTTCCGACCGTGCTGTCACCTCGGATTTCGCGGAACAAATACTCCAAATACAATTCGAAAAAGTGTCGTTCTATGCGACGAAGCCTCCGCGTGATGGCAACTCAACGTCCGAATCACAATTCAAAATATTGTAGGACCGCTCTGGGTTTTTCTTACTATTTTTTTTTCAGGGATTTTTTTTTTTCACCTAGGAAAAGTGTTCTTATGCGTCGCGTGTCTCACGGGGATACGCTTAGGTCTTGTCAAAATGAAGCGTCGCGTGAATTCAGGTCCAATCGAGTACTTGATGGACCGGGAGTTCTCACGAATCCGCCTGTCACTCGGCACAGAACAGTACTGCTCTGATCTTTTAGGCCCCGCAGATGTTGTTGGAAACAAGAATTTTTCCTGCTGATTGACTCTGCCTCTTCGTGATTTTGGTGGATATTTCGGCTTGATTTTTGTTCCGTTTTATTTCTTTGTTAATCGTTGAATTGGATGCCTCGCAAAAATCGGAATACCCGAGTGAATTTCAATCTTAACTCGTCGAATAATAATAACAACAAAAGACGAAGTGACTAAATTCTTATCTCTGTGATCAACAACAAAAGACGGAGTGACTAGATTCTTATCTCTGTGAACAACAACAAAAGAGGGAGTGACAAGATTCTTATCTCTGTGATCAACAACAAAAGACGGAGTGACTAGATTCTTATCTCTGTGATCACCAAGTTCGTGGAAAATCATTGCGTCGGTTGTGGCTTTCAGGCTATCGAACCGGAATTTCCTATAAATTATGGGCGAAGAGCAAATTAAATGGGAGTACTGTACAGTATGCAGTAAAATCTGCTTGTAACAAATCCTTTGGGGGACTTGGGAAAAAGGTCGTCATACTGAATAATTTATTACTGTATCATAAGATTTTCAGAATTAAAATTCGGAAAAATATGTCATTAGACCTGCTTACAATCGATTAGATCTTGCTTTTCTGGCATTCTCATATTTTTAAATACAGTTGAACTTCTCTAAGTCGAATTTCTAGGGACCAGGAAAAAAATTCGACTTGGGGAGGTTTTGATTTTTTGAGGAAAGGAAACCAATATTTTTGCAGCAAGGAAAACCGGAAATTGTCAATGAGAATATTCTGGGCTTAAACTTGCTTCTTAATGAGTTTACAGCTTTCTGAACTTGTAGGCAGGGGTTCATTTGTTCAATTAGTCCTTCACTTGATTTCAAAATGCATAAAATAATTTGTTTTGTTGATTTTCTCAATTCTTGGATAATCCTTAGAAGGAAACCCCCCACACTTTCACCATTTCATTTGGAAGGAAAACTCGGAGAAAACATTTCAATTTTTGAAGTATACGGGATTTTGGTACCTGCGGGATTTTTGGACCCCGCGAGATTTTTGGGCCTACGGGATTTTTGGCCTCACGGGATTTTCGGGCCGCGGGATTTTTTCTCCCACGGGATTTTCTCCTGCACCCCAAACTCCACTGTGTTGAGAATTACTTGAGATGTACAGTGGATCCTCTGTTAACAAACCTTATTCCAGGAAAAAAGTTTGTCAACCAAAAAGTTTGCCAACAAAATTTGATTTTCCCATATATAGGCTTGGAGAAGATGGAGAAGTATTTAATCCATTCCATGAGCCCAAAAAACGATTGAATAACAAGTCAAGGCCATCAACTGATGTAATCAGAATAAGTTATTGTTACTGCATCTTATACATGCCCAGCATGTTTCAACAGTGTAATATGAAAGTAGCACTATAAGGAAACCAATAATAAAGAAGCTTTACATCCAGAGAAACCCATATTATGTAGGATACATGCCAGGTGAAAATGGAATTAATTTTTCCAATGCTGCAAGAAAAGTTCAAATTGGCCTTTATAACAGCAGTTAAACCAAAAAACCAAGCACAGAAAACCAAATAATTATGCTGCAGAAGAGCATCTATGAATGAGGTAGCTGAAAAAAAGGTTTTAGGACACAAGAATATTGGAGTCCCAAAAGGGAAGAAATTTCATATCAGTGCATATAGGTGAGTGACGATTTGCACTTTGAAACTGATCAATCAACATTTTGGATTCCTAACATTGACAAATTTGGACTGATTTGGTTTCCATAACAGTAGCACTTCCCCCTACTTATTTTTGTTTTGCTTGCATTTTTCATGTTTAATTGGCATAGTACAAGAGTATCTTATTAGCATCTGAATTAAGAAGTTTAATTTTTACCGGAATTCCCACTTTTAACCCATTTGAACATGCCATCAAACTTGTGCTGGAGCTCAGGAAATTGAATGTTATGATTAATTGGCAAAGGGATTTTAATTATTTGCAGTACAGCAGTGGACCCCCATTTAACAAACTTAATTCGTTCCAGAAAAAAAAAGCTTGTTAACCAAATTTGACATTTGTATAGACTTCAATGGGGAAGAAAGTATTCCATTCCATGAACCAAATGAAAGACAATTGAACATTTCTAACAGTATTGAAAAACTAGGAAAACCAAGCACGGAAATAATTCTGTCGCAGAAGAGCATACATATGCATAAAATTTTAAAACACAATATTATACAGATATATTGGAGTTTCAGAAGGGAACAATTTCCACATTGGTACGTATAGGTGAACTACATATATGCTCAGATTTTACCATAAAGTTCAGCCTTAAAATCAAGTTTTTAATCTGGATATTTGGGATTTTCCCTCAGAAAAACAAGTTTCTCGACCAAATTTTCGGTTTGTTAACCAGCAGGGATTTTTCCTCAAAACCAATAAGAGATTGTTGACCAACAATAAGTTTTTCCACATTTTGCTCCGGGGCAGGTTATGATGGGAGGAGGGCGTCAGTTCTTTTTCCCCAACGAAACCTACAACCAAAATAGATCCGAGGCCCAATGCCAGCGGCGAGATGGTCGCAAGCTCGTGGAAACATGGATCAACGACAAGAAGAGCAGGAACGCGACCTACAAATACGTAACGACGACATCCGAGCTTCAAGATGCCATGAGGAACAAACCAGATTACCTACTCGGTCGGCATTCACTATAATAGAGACCCGCATCATTTCCCAATAACTTCTAAACAATAAAAATACTTGCACGGCACTTTCAGGGTTGTTCAGCAGCAGTCACATGAGTTACGAAAGCGAGAGGAACACGTCACCAAACGGAGAACCGAGTCTCGCAGACATGACTGAAGCGGCGATTAATATCTTGGAAAATGACAAAGGGTTTCTTCTCATGGTAAGCCGGCTCCATAAAATGACAAAGCCTTTGCTGGGAGAAAAAATCCCGCGGCCCGAATATCCCGCGTAAGACACTGACACATAAAATTCTGGTCAAAAAATCCAACAGTTGGGAACGAAAATCCCGGGAGCTACTACACAGACATAATTGTTAAAGTGTATGTGTCTTGGTTTTAAGTGCAAGTGTGTCTGGGGGATTGAACTGCAGTGAATCAGATATCATGACAATAGCGCATTTATTCTTCCATAACCTCTCCGTGGAAACCTTGTACAGTACTGTAGAGTTGAAAGAACGTACGCGTGTTGAATTTTGAAAAGGTGTTCTTGCTGTGCTGTTTATCAGTACTGATATATCATACATTGAATATTGAAATTAGACACACGTTCAAAGTGTATATAGCCTTCTTTTGATAATTCAGAAGTTGTGTACGACTACGAACCATTAGCTATTGTATAGGCATCAAAGGGCATTTTTCTGATGCAAAGATTCTTGTCCGGTGAATTTCGTTCCTGTGAGATTTTCGGACCCCGCGAGATTTTTAGGGCTCACTGGATGATTTTCCGGCCGCGGGATTATCCCTTCCAGAACGGGATTTTCTCCTGCATTCGTTAAGCCATCTAACGCAAATTTCAAACGGGATCACAATTTCAAACTTTTTCACCCGTGCAGGTTGAGGGGGCGAAAATCGATCACGCGTTGCATGACAATAACGCACGGCGGAGTCTCGAAGACCTCCTCGCTTTGGAGGAAGCAGTTGAACGTGCTCTCAGAAAGACGAGTCAACTGGACACACTCATCATCGTTACTGCTGATCATTCGCACACACTGACGATAAATGGCTACCCAAGCAGAGGAAATCCTATCTTGGGTAATGACTCCGGAATTGAAAAAGATGCAACACTTTCGGCATACACGATAGAATATATTGTTCCACGTAATATTTACTCTGATTTACTTATTCAGGCATAGCGGAAAAACAGACTGATTTTGGACTCCCGTACACAACCCTGATGTTTGCCAACGGTGTCGGTTACAATTACACCAACAACGGAACACACATTTTGTGGCGGAATCTTACCAACGTGGATACCGAGGCACTGGATTTCCGACAGCAGGCAGCCATTTACCGCGAAGACGGAGATGAGACCCATGGCGGCGAGGACGTTGCAGCTTATGCCATCGGTTTAAAAACAGATCTTTATGACAACCTCGACATTCAGTATTTTTAGATCTATATAGGTTACCTGGCTTCTTTTGTTTTTCAGGACCGTGGGCCCATTTGATAACTGGAGCACACGAGCAACCCTACGTTGCTCACGTCGCGAATTACGCCGCATGCCTGGGAGATTACGCCGAGATGTGTCAGAGCTCCATGCGAAAAGCGAGCTGTGGAATCGAAGTTTCCTCGGCAAATACTGCTGGAGGGATCCACGCCGTTTTCATTATCATCGCGTTCTCAATGAGCTACAGCATGCTTCATTTCTGATCTGATTTAAGTTATTTGCAGCATATTCATAGCTTTGATCTCAGTGTCCAGGGCTGCTGGCACAAGCCTGTATGCCACCGGTGTGCAAACCCTCAGCACTTAACTCTTCTATGCATGAACAACTGCAATCAGACCTAATAATGTGTATGAAGTGTTCCCTGCTGAATATTTGTAAGAAATGAATGAATGGATTTTGATTTTTCATAGTAAAATGTTTTTATGTATCCTTTGTACATTGTATGTGATAGAAGCAAATTCAACAGTGACACTATGGTTCAATGTAGACAAAGCAGCATGTCCAGTAAAAAAATGCCAATAAAGGTGGTAACTTGCAATTCCACCCTAATCTATTGCCAGACTAGGGTTGAAATTATGAAGTGGTTGAAATGCAAGACACTTTGTGAAATTGAGAAATATCAGCACAAAAATGCAAGAAAAGCAGGTCAAATTCTGGGGCAGAGGTCAAATGCAAGTCAACATCCCTGCAAATTCAATAACCATCAAATTTTGGGACATTTCAATTAAAAGGCATACCACCTGTACCAAACTAGATATTAAGGAAACAGCTCATAAAGTATATGATTTTAGTACTGTATAGTGCTTTTCCTAGCTTTTGCTTAAGAAAACTTTGCAATATCATTTGTGCCTATTCAGTCTATAGTTCTTCAAGTTTGTCATGCTTGTTTGAAATCATTGATAAATTTGAGAATTATCCCTGGCTCAGTGTTGATCTTGAGTATAATTCCTATAATGATCTTCAATTTTGAAAAACTTCTTTCAGGAGATTCAACAATTACTGGCAGAATTAAGAAAATTCTGAGTGAAATAGCAGTACAGGTATTACACAATGAATCAATAAGATTATTATTCTAGATGAGATTAAGTACTGATGTTGCTGACATGTTTTCTCCAAGGATTTGTAAAATGAATCATAAAATGTTTTGCATAAAATGAAAGAAATCAATCAGCCTGGGACCAGGATGAAAATTCTAAGTTGAAATATTTTATGAATTATTTCTTTGTCCCAAAATAAAAATCTACATTTTGACACAGTTTGATAAGAAGCACACAAGGAATCTCCCCAAAAGTTGCTGCACCCCACTCAAGATTAAAAGCTCTCAATAAGAAGACTGATCATGATGTAGATGAAAAAAGGGTTCATTATTTTCACCTTTTCCTTGATTGAAATCCTATATGGATGAAGTTACAAAATGTTTAGGCCTGTGATTGGCTAATTAAACAGCAGTCCAAGACATTCCAGCACATGCAACCATGAATTACACAAAGCTCTAAATTTTGTGGAGAGGGGAAAGTCACATTCAAGTTATACAAAGATTACTGAAAATGAGGTTAGATGTAAAGAAAACACAGACTCTGCTGGGGAACACAGCAGGGGATTTGTTTGTGGTAATCCCAAAGAGAGAGTTGAGACTGTATTCAACAATGAAGTTTCAGATCAAACATACTGCAATCAACAAATCTTATTCAGATTCCAGAACACAGACTGAAATTCTCTAGACAACCAAAGGCAATGAAAGGCTTACACAGGCTGACTGATAATAGGGGAGATGTGCTTTCAGGAGAGGATTGCTCAATGAGAGGAGGAAAAGTGTGTACTGTGTGTGTGTGTTATTACAGTGTTGGTCACCTGATCACCAGGAATTTTTGATGATCACCTGATTGGCTTTTCTGCATAGAAAATTCCTTTATTACCCTTCCATCGAGTTTATTTGTTAAAAAAAAATGTCTGTGAAGTTTGTCTTGCCATAGGCATATACTGTACTTTGTTGCTTGCTGGTCTGAGTTAGGTTGTGAAAAAATTTACAGTGCAGAAAACTAGTTGAAGGGATGTTTCTTAATGTTTCTGAAATTATTTTGAAAATTCTAGTATGTTGAATTGTTGATCAAGAACGGTATTTGCTCAACCATCTAAATAGGTATAGGAGCAATAAACATGTATCTTCCAATGGTGTCATGTGTTGGACCAAGCTAAGGTTTGCTTAGAGCCCAACACCCAGTGCTTGCTTTAGGATTAGCAGAGCAATCTTTGGCATGAATGCTGATGATCCACACCTAGGATGAACCAGGGATGGAGTACACCAGATTTTTAAAAATAAGATCAACTCTTGGCCCCCAAAAGAAATAGTGGACCCTTGGTTAACATGCTTCAACCCATCCCAAGCCTGAGAAAAGATTGAGTGGGGCTTTGGAGCTTCCTCTGTTTTTCTTAAAGGCATCTGTCCAATGAACAGATGCACCAGAACACCTTGAGGACGCTTTTGAGATGTTTTCATATTAATCAGTCTGTTAAAAATATGAAAAAACACATTTAATTGAAAAGGCAGCCAAAGCCCATTGGGAATCCAATGAAAGAATTAGAATGGATTGCTATGAAAAACATGCTGAGAATTCATGTAAGAGTTGGCTCAATGTCCCAGAAATTTATCAGGGATTGAACAGAGAATTTCTGTTTTTAATTTAAAAAAAAATGGGGCATTAATTTGTTCATCCCTTTCCAGCAAAATTGGCATTTGTCTTTCCCCAAATACTGCCTTCTTCAGCCACATTTTTGTGAAAAATTCCCCTCTTTTTGCAGTCAAAAATGCATCTCATCATGGTTCTTATCATTATCTTTTTCCAGTAAAATCAGCAGATTTCCAGGAAAATCCAGCACAGCTCTTTCTTTCATTCCCTTCCTGGGAGGAAACAAACAAATTGTTTTACCAAGAGTGAGAAAGCCAAAGGAATCCTGGACAGAGTCATTCATCATTGTTGCTTGAGAGTTGAGACATTCTGCTGAGACAGAAAAGAAAGTTTGTGGTATGCAGAATATTATTGTAGACAAGATGGTTGTAGGGAGAGCATGCCTTGATCAAGAATTAAACAGGATTGTTCAAATATTTTGCATCAAATGTTTATTGTTCTTTGGACTGTGGTACCTGTTTGAGAAATCTGTACTGAATTATATTTAATGAGGCAACTCACAAGTGAAGGTAGTGATAAAGCCTTGATTGCACAAGTTGTCCTAGGAAAAAAGGACAATCTTATCATTTCCAAGGCAACAACCTTCATCTTTTACAAGAAAATCATGCAGAAGGCAGTGTAGAGCATTCCAAAAAGAAATAAATTTCATCCAAGAATAGCTAAAATGTGTCATATGATTAAAGAAAACTATTTTATTGGATAACAGTAATTTACAGGAACTTTCATAAAGCACTGTACAGTGGCCCCCCACCTAACAGACCTCCTGTGTAAGGGATTTTCGTTGAACAGACCAGCTCTGCAAGCAGTTTTTCCTCCTGCCCAACAGACAAAATCCGCCAAACAGACTTCTTTTGGTTTAAAATTAGTGTTGAAAATTGAAATTTTTAATTTTTTATGTAATTGAATTCATGTAAAGGACTTTTTGTCTAACAGACTCGTCCCTTGCACAAATCAAGTCCGTTAGACAGGGGTTGACTGTATTCCTATGAAAAATAAGCTAAAAGCATTATTCTCAACATGAAGTAACCCTGGATTTATTTGCATCAGTCAGGATTAGCAGTAAAGTTAATAAATCCATATTAGTTTCCCAAGATACGGTAGAAAATGGATTCCTTTCATTTCTTTAAAAAAGACCAATGCTATCAATGTAGCCCAAGCTTTAAAAAAAAAATACAAAATCGAGTACGGTATGTACTTGAGGAGCCCCCCTGTATAATAAATACCTCAATGGATCAGGAATTAATTTTCTTTCCTGCAGTTTTCCTACATTGAGCAAGTATATAGCTGCCATTGGGAGTGATGATGCTTGTAACGCATCACTTGGTTCACCCAGGGACTTCTAAGGGGGCTGGGTTATGGTAATGAGACTGCCCCCCCCCCCCCCCCCCGTCCCGCCAGGCATTCCATCACGGTTGACTGAGCAAACCAGGGCTTGGGGAGGGAAAACTAATACTTCTGGAGCAGGGTTCATAAAGTTGTGGCGGGCTCGCACCCTGAACGTTGGTCCACGACCGGGCCGCCTCCCATCCTATCAAATGCCTCACCGGATGGGAAAACCGCACTGGGGCTTACCATCATCCCTGTCTTGTCTGTCTGTCTCTCCCCACTCTCCAATATTCACTCATCTCCACGTCTCACTCACTCTCTCTTCTCTCTCTCTCTCCTTCCCTCTCTCTGTCTCTGTCGGGATTCTCAATGAGTCTTGGGGTGAAGCTCCTCTTGGTGGGGAGGCTATCTGAGGCGTGAGGCGACATCCGGTTTCTTTTCCTGCATTAAAAAGAATTGTTTTATTGAGCTTTCGACCGGGGAATGCTGGGATTTTTCAGAGTGCAATTGTCTAGCACCAGAAGAGAAATGGTACTTGAGTTGAGTATTGTTTCCACTGAACCCTGATACAGGAAAAAAAAAATCAAAATCTTTTCTCAGGATTTGTGAGACGAAATACAGCACAGTACTGTATTGTGAAGTGGAACCTTGGTTAACAAACTTTTGGTTTCCAGGAATGATCCCTCATTTAAAAAACCAAAATTTGGTCAAAAACTTTTTCTGGAGAAAAGTCCTGCATGTTAGAAATGAAAATTTGTTACAAAACATCTGTTTCAACATCATGACCTTTTGTTTTCCTTGGAGTACAATGCTTTATGAAGGTTGTCAAATCTTCCTCTAAATTACTGTTATTCAATAAAATACTTTTCTTGAATCATATTGAGCAGCAGGGACCTAAAAGAAAGACAACTTCCTTGTAATCTGATTTGCGTTATAACAAGCTTTTTTGTAGTGATATTATGCTGTATATGAAGGGGAGAATATTTCAACTGAGAGAACTTAGTTACAGTAGTAGTAGTGTACCAGTACTTTATTCATTTTGTTTCTCAAAAAAAAAAGAAGACATTACCAAACACATTTTCTGACTTGGCTCTCAATGTGTAGAGGTTAGTACAATTTTTTCAATGAATTCTGAGCCAGAAAACAGTGTTTAAAATAATATCACGAATTAGGAAATCATTGCTTATTGGGAGTCCCTATCTGGACTGTTTGCCCTGATGCGTTTCATTAATTACATTTAAAAATTGATCATTATCAAAACAATATTTCAACACCAAAATTACTTCTGTATGAAAAAATTTTTAATCTAACATTAAATCGCAAGTCTTGAGATAAACCGTTGCATCTTGAAAAAAAAAAACCTCTCATACATAGTTTCTGCATATAGAAAACGGGATGAAAT